TGGACGGGGTGTCCGTGCCGCCTCCTGGACCGCGCCCGTGCGTCTCCCTCCACCTGGCTGTCCTGCGTTACAGCCTTCGTCATGGGTTGGTTACTAATTCGTTAAGGGGTGCCCCGGTAAGGCGGCCTAACCCAAGGAGGGGCCCAGGAAACTGATTTGCAGCCGGCAGGTTGGAAGCACAGGGGACGAGTGGTGTGACGGGCCCTGAGGTCGCAGGTCGTGGGCCTCTGCCATCTGCAGCTGGTGGGTAGAAGCGCGGGCCCACGTGGGCTCGCGGGGGCACCTGGTGTGGGGGTGCCCCCTTAAGCTGTGGGACCAGGCGCACCTCTGGGGAGATGGGGGCAGAATTACGTGGCCTTCAGCATCGGAGAACAGCTCGTTGGTCTGGGGAGTCTACCCAGACACCCCCACCAGAATTAGGTCCAAGAACTCCCTAGAAAGTCAACGCCGCCTGCGTGGAGCAGCATTTGGGGGGTTCTGCTGTGTGCTCGCACACCCCCACACCCGGCCTGGGCGTCTGTGACACGGGGCCGTGGGGATGGGGCGTCTGCAGCAAGCAGCCCGCCCCGCCCCAGTCGGGCTGCTCCATGCTGTTGGCCTTTTGGGGTTCGGTAGTGGCCGTGGTGCTTCCTGGCCTCCTGCACGCTCCGCGGTGTCGGGAGCTCTGGGTGTGGCGTGTGGGCGCCTTCGGGTGCAGTGCCTGCCGCCTGCCCCCAGCAAGGCACGCCCCTCGGGCTGCCTGGGGAGCTGAGTGGCACCGGGCGCCCCAGGAGGATTCCGGGTCCGGGGCCTCCCTCGCCGCAGACCACGGCAGCGCCTGGTTCCCGGCCAAACCCACAGGGCCCAGCCCGGCCTCGGGCTGCGCTGACCTGCAAGACGTGCCCGTCCTCCAGGACCTGCAGCCGGGGGTCCGGGGAGAAGGGCAGCCCATTCCGCAGCCACGAGATAGTGGGTGCGGGGGTGCCCAGGGCCGGGCACGGCAGGCGGACCGTGCTGCTGGCGTTGACGGTCACCTCCTCCACCAGCTCCTCCGTGTCGCCCAGGATCACAGGTGGGGCTGCGGTGGGGGGCAGAGGCTGAGAGCGGGGCCCTCCTGGGAGAGGTGCCCTGGGAGGGGGGGGCAGGGCCGCCCTGGTGCCGGGAGCAGGCTGGGGCTACCGTTCCCGCCCGCATCCCCCACCCCGGGGCCCGACGCGGGCCGGACGCGGGGCGGGTGACTGACGCAGGCCACGCAGCTGGAAGTGCCCGCCTGGCATTCGAGCCGGGCCCCAGGCGTCAGAGCCCAAGCTGTGACCC